AGAAGATAAAAGATAAAAGTAAAGAAGGTCAAGAAACGAATACTTGACATAAAGAAGTCAAAATAGCGTTCTCATCCCTTTGAATTTAAAGCCACAAGCAGATAAATAAATCAAAAGTATACCAAACCTCAGGTGAAAATAATCACAAGCAGACAACATCAAAGAAACCCAAGACATCAAATAAAATTCAAAGCATCGGATAAAGCGCATAGATAAAAATAAATCACAAGCCTGAAAAATGCACCAGGTTAGCTCAAGTCTCGGATAAGAAACCCTACATCCGAAAAAAAATCCACACAAACAGACGAGGTCAAGATAGTAAAGAAGCAATCAGAACATCTCAACATGAAATAAAGAATCAATCAAGTTATAATTTGTATCAAAGCTAAAATAAAACAAATGAAATATGAAGTGAATGTTTGATCAATTAATTAAGAGTTAATTAACTTAAAATTGAGTTAAGAAAAATGAATTAATAAATTAATTCATTTTAATTAACTAAATCAATTAACTAAATCAACATCTAATTAATTAATCAAAGTGAAAAGATAAAGAAAAACAAAGGATAAAATAAAGAGAGAATCAATTAGTTAAATATTGATTAAATCAATTAATGAAGTTAAGAAAAATAGATTAGTAAACTAATTCATTTTAATTAACAAACACTAATTAATTAAAACAATATAGAACTAATGGATAAAAATGAAAATAGAAATCGAAAAGTAAAATGAAATTGTGATGGAGAAAGGAACTTGAGAACTCTTGTAAGTTTGCACAAATCAACAAACAAATTAGTAATCACAAGGTATAAAGTCGAAATGAAACTTGCCACGTGAACAAATGAATATTTTTCAATTAAGAACCAAGAAAACAAGTTAATAGTCAATTAAAATACAAAAATCAGCATTGCATTCTATTTAGGGATGGCAACGGGTCGGGTCGGGTGCGAGTTTCACACTACCCACACCCGCACCCGAAATCATCACCCGAACCCGAACCCGAACCCGAAGGCTATTCGGGGGACAAAATCACACCCGCGCCTGCACCCGTTGGGTTCGGGTTTTTTCATCCAAACCCGAAGGCTATTCTGGTGACAAAATCACACCCGCGCCCGCACCCGTTGGGTTCGGGTTTTTTCACCCAAATCCAAACCCGCACCAAAAATCAAAAAAAAAAATTACAATTAAAATAAGGTCTCTTTACATTGTCTTCAAGAAAATGCAATCACAATTATCTTAACATAGTCTTCAACATCTTAACATTACAATTAAAATTAAATTCTACAATCAAATTACAACTTTTCAACAACAACAAGCTAATATATTACAACTTTCTTGTGTAAGATTAGATGTTCCTTCCGACTCCAGAGTTGTTTCACTTGATCTATTTTACCTATTACAAAGAAAATATATTTCACATGTTAAGAAACACTAATAGATATTATCATCATAATTTTAAATTGTAATAACAAACATGTGAAACTTAAAACATATAAAACATGTAACTTAATTCTTGGTAATGCTGAACTTTTAAATTGTAATAAGAAGAATCCTTTAGACCACTTCTTGATACATACAGAGATGTAATAGCTTACAACACAGATAACATATCGCTTTTAAATTGTAATAATTTTAACATGTCATATTCTTGATAATTTATCATGTTTGCAACTGGAATAAAACTGCATATAATAATGTTTGTCTACTAACTTTCAGCATGCTTGCATGCGCGTTAAATATCATGTTTTTGAACTGTCTAGAAACATAAGAACAACACTAAAAGAACTGTCTAATATCAAAAGTATTAGTGCAAATTAGTCGGGGCAACAATGGTGGAAGATAGAAACAATAATACTCACCATGTTAACATATAGAAACAACAACTTCTAATCTTCAAAATGGTAACTCAAACAACCTTCCATCAACTCAGTTGTATTAACAAATAAATTGATGTTAAATAAAACACTAAAGCTTAAAACTTCTACACCAAATGAAGTACAAAATACCTTCATCGTCTGACTCCATTTCATTCAACACAGTAGCAATTTCTTCTGCAACTCTAAAAATTCTTATATATATTATATAACAAGAAAAATTAGTAATATATTATTTGCCAATGACATACCAAAGTAGTAATACATTATATAACAAAAAAATTAACGTAGAAAGTAAAAATAATTTGACAATGACATACAGTTATTCTCAGCAGCCCATAGCCAACTCCTAGCACACATCAAAGCCTCTACGGTAGTCCAGTTAAGTCGGCTACGATGAGGACTCAATATTCTACCATTATTACTGAAGGTCGATTCAGAAGCTACTGTAGAGATAGGAATAGCTAACACATCTCTTGCAATTGCTTGAAGTGTTGGATACACTAAAGCTGTATTAACAAATAAATTGATGTTAAATAAAACACTAAAGCTTAAAACTTCTACACCAAATGAAGTACAAAATACCTTCATCGTCTGACTCCATTTCATTCAACACAGTAGCAATTTCTTCTGCAACTCTAAAAATTCTTATATATATTATATAACAAGAAAAATTAGTAATATATTATTTGCCAATGACATACCAAAGTAGTAATACATTATATAACAAAAAAATTAACGTAGAAAGTAAAAATAATTTGACAATGACATACAGTTATTCTCAGCAGCCCATAGCCAACTCCTAGCACACATCAAAGCCTCTACGGTAGTCCAGTTAAGTCGGCTACGATGAGGACTCAATATTCTACCATTATTACTGAAGGTCGATTCAGAAGCTACTGTAGAGATAGGAATAGCTAACACATCTCTTGCAATTGCTTGAAGTGTTGGATACACAACTCCATTTACCTTCCACCAATTCAAAATGTCAAATTCTGGAACACATGTCTTTGATTCTACTAACTTGTGCACTTGATTCTTCTCCATACAACTTAGGAAACTAGAAATTAAGTACAACAATCTTCTTCCTAGGATCCAAAACTGCAGCAACTCCCATCATATCATGAACACCACTCCAATAATTTTGAAATTTTTCCATCATTCTTGTGGCCATCATCTCAATAATTGAATTGGAGGACTTCTTCCATTCCTCTATTGCCAACTTAATCTTACAAATCTTAGGAAAGTACAAGTTGGCAGTTGGATATTTTGTACCAGAAATCAACTCAGTTACTTCATTAAATAATTTTAAGCACCCACAAACATCTTTAGCAAATTGCCATTGTGAATTAGTTGGAAGACAAGTGTACAAAGACTCACGTTGCTTCAACCAAATAAATACATCCTTGTACTCTATGGCAATATCAAGCATCTTATATGTGCTATTCCATCTTGTTGGACAATCTAGAGCTAACTTTCTAGTGCAAATAATTCTCAATTGTCTAGCGGTATCTTCAAATTTTTCATACTTTTTAGGTGTAGCACTCCAAAATCCTACGCCATCCTTAATCACTTGTAGCCCCATCTCTTATTAAACATTCCAACGACAACTTATCCTTAATTTTCCTAATCATTGAGTCATTTGTGCTACAATTATCTAAAGTAATCGTAGAAAGCTTTGAATCAATGTTTCAGTCCATTAAACAATTAACAAGTGCTTTAGCCAGTCTTTCACTAGTGTGAGGGGCTGGAACATAAATGAACCTAACATAATATTTATAAAAAACAAATCTTTCACTTATTGTCATTAAGAACAAAAAAAATAGATACAATTAAGTTATAAAATATAAACATTGTTACCTCAAGATTCGACTCTGTAAAGTCCACGAGCCATCAATATAGTGAGCCGTAACCGCCATATACCCTTTTTTTTTTTTGCTTGAAGTCCACATATATGTGGTAATTGCCACTCTCCCTTCATGGTTATCTAACATATAAACTTTCAATACCTCCTTCTTGATTGTGTTTCGAGTAGGAACTTTAAACAATGGTTGGAGAGAAACAAAGACTCTTCTAAGACCAATGTGATCCACAATTGATAGTGGATAATCGTGCATAATAATAGCTTCAGCAATCAACTTCTTCACATGTTCTGGATCATAAATTCCAATTCCCTTCACATGTTCTGGATCATAAGTTCCAATTCCCAACTCTTACTTTCCTTCTGAGATAGTAGGAGAAATAGTTGTCCTTTGTCATGGTTTCTAGTCTTGATCTTTTTTTGAATACAACTCAAGAGATGTCCTTTCAAGTGATTTGTTCCATTCTTTGAAGTGCCACTAAGTTGTTTTTTACACCAGATGCATTCAGCCTTATCTTTTCCATTCACTTTCATCTTTTTAAATTCTTGCCACACATTACTTCTAAGTTTCTTTGATGCAGGTTCTAAAATTGTATCAATTTCTTCTTGTTGCCCAATATCAGATTCAGATTAGAAGATTCAGATTAGAAGATACCTTCTGAGTTGGACATATACTTTCTTGTGTAGGATTAGATGCTCCTTCTGGTTCCGGGGTTGTGTTCACTTGATCCATTTTACCTACTACAAACAACAAGAAATTTCATAAACAATTGTATAAAAAAAATGAGACTTTAAGAAGGCACGAAAAAACATACCACCACAAGATTCATAATCGCAAACACCTTAACATTCATACAAAGTTTAAAAAAGAATTTAAAATGATAAAAACTATTATTGATAAAAACTATTATTAAAAGTAATGTTTTTACACGAGACAACATGGTTTTGTTTCAAATATGAAGTTATATCTCTCTTTCACTCGTGTGTGTGTATGATATGTAGCTTCCCCTTCCTTCTGTTGCAACGTCAGCTTAACTAACCAAAAGTTGGTATTGATTGAGTGTGGGTTAAGGTAACTCAGCATGTTAACATTGGATCAGGATAGACAGTTGTAACTGAATCAAAATTCAGTGTAACCACTCTTCGAAGGATTGAAGCAACATCATCTCAATATACTAGTTTAGTCCACCTAAAAATATGGAACTGATGAATTGCTCAACCGACTTGTGGCGCATTCCTAAGATTACTCCAAATAATAACTCTTTTTTAGGAAGAGAGAAAGAGTAATAACTCAACAGAGAAATTGTCTCTGTTGAGAGCTTCTGATGATTTGTCTTCAGTACCTGTGAGTTCAACTTCCATACCTGCAAGGAATTCATTCTGCTTTGACTTTTGAGAGTCAAGCTTATCATCAAAACGAACATTGATTGACTCTTCCACAATTTGTGTTTCTGTATTGTATACTCTGTACCCTCTTGAGCGTTCAGAGTATCCTAACATAATACACTTTTGTGCTTTAGAGTCAAACTTGTTCAAATAATTTTTTGTATTCAAAATAAAACATGTACATCCAAATGGGTGAAAGTAGGAAATGTTGGGCTTTCTGTTCTTCCATAATTTATATGGAGTCTTTTCCAGAATAGGTCTTATGGAGATTCTGTTCTGAATGTAACACGTTGTGTTTATTGCCTCTGCCCAGAAGATCTTAGCAGCGTTAGTCTCGTTCATCATGGTTCTGGCCATTTCTTGCAATGTTCTGTTCTTTCGTTCTATAACTCCATTTTGCTGGGGAGTTCTAGGACAAGAGAAATCATGCAGAATGCCTTTGTCATTAAAGAATAACTCAAAATATTTGTTTTCAATTTCTCCACCATGATCACTTCTGACTTTGACGATTCTAAGATCCTTTTCATTCTGAACTTGGTTGAAGAAGGTAACAAACACGAAGTGTGACTCGTCCTTGTGCCTTAAGAACTTTACCCATGTCCATCTGCTATAGTCATCTACGATTACTAACCCATACTTCTTGCCACTGACTGAAGCAGTTTTAACTGGTCCAAATAAGTCAATGTGCAGAAGTTCTAATGGCTTGGAGGTGGAAACAACGTTTTTGGATTTGAAAGCTGGTTTTGCAAACTTGCCTTTCTGACATGCTTCACACAGAGCATCTAAATTGAACTTCAGGTTAGGAAGTCCTCTGACCATATTGAGTTTGTTAATCTGAGATATTCTTCTCATACTAACATGTCCCAATCTTCTGTGCCAGATCCATTGCTCGTTGTTAACAGATAGTAGACATTTTACATTCTAACTTTTCAGTTCAGAAAATTTTATACTCTTTCTCTCTTCCTGAAAAATAGTTATTATTTGGAGTAATTTTAGGAATGCGCCGCAAGTCGGCATCAGTTCCATTCCATATTTTTAGGTGGACTAAACTAGTATATTGAGATGATGTTGCTTCAATCCTTCGAAGAGTGGTTACACTGAATCTTTGATTCAGTTACAACTGTCTATCCTGATACAATGTTAACATGCTGAGTTACCTTAACCCACACTCAATCAACACCAACTTTTGGTTAGTTAAGCTGACGTTGCAATAGAAGGAAGAGGAAGCTACACATCATACACACACACGAGTGAAAGAGAGATATAACTTCATATTTGAAACAAAACCATATTGTCTCGTGTAAAAACATTACTTTTAATAATAGCTTTTATCAATAATAGTTTTTATCATTTTAATTTCTTTTTTAAACTTTGTATGAATGTTAAGGTGTTTGCGATTATGAATCTTGTGGTGGTATGTTTTTTCGTGCCTTCTTAAAGTCTCATTTTCTTTTATACAATTGTTTATGAAATTTCTTGTTGTTTGTAGTAGGTAAAATGGATCAAGTGAACACAACCCCGGAACCAGAAGGAGCATCTAATCCTACACAAGAAAGTACATGTCCAACTCAAGAGGTATCTTCTAATCCGAATCCGACACCTGAACCTGATATTGGGCAATAAGAGGCAATAAGAAGAAATTGATACAATTTTAGAACCTGCATCAAAGAAACTTAGAAGTAATGTGTGGCAAGAATTTAAAAAGATGAAAGTGAATGGAAAAGATAAGGCTGAATGCATCTGGTGTAAAAAACAACTTAGTGGCACTTCAAAGAATAGAACAAATCACTTGAAAGGACATCTCTTGAGTTGTATTCAAAAAAGATCAAGACTAAAAACCATGACAAAGGACAACCATTTCATGTGCTATGAAGATGTTAGATAACCATGAAGGGAGAGTGGCAATTACCACAGATATGTGGACTTCAAGCAAAAAAAAAAGGGTATATGGCGGTTACGGCTCACTATATTGATGGCTCGTGGACTTTACAGAGTCGAATCTTGAGGTAACAATGTTTATATTTTATAACTTAATTGTATCTTCTTTTTTTTGTTCTTAATGACAATAAGTGAAAGACTTGTTTTTTTGTAAATATTATGTTAGGTTCATTTATGTTCCAGCCCCTCACACTAGTGAAAGACTTGCTAAAGCACTTGTTAATTGTTTAATGGACTGGAACATTGATTCAAAGCTTTCTACGATTACTTTAGATAATTGTAGCACAAATGAATCAATGATTAGGAAAATTAAGGATAAGTTGTCGTTGGAATGTTTAATAAGGGATGGGTCTTTGTTACATATGCGTTGTTGTGCGCACATCCTAAATTTAATTGTTCAGGAGGGGCTACAAGTGATTAAGGATGGCATAGAAAATATTCGGGATAGTGTAGGATTTTGGAGTGCTACACCTAAAAGGTATGAAAAATTTGAAGATACCGCTAGACAATTGAGAATTATTTGCACTAGAAAATTAGCTCTAGATTGTCCAACAAGATGGAATAGCACATATAAGATGCTTGATATTGCCATAGAGTATAATGATGTATTTATTCGGTTGAAGCAACGTGAGTCTTTGTAACTGAGTTGATTTCTGGTACAAAATATCCAACTGCCAACTTGTACTTTCCTGAGATTTGTAAGATTAAGTTGGCAATAGAGGAATGGAAGAAGTCCTCCAATTCAATTATTGAGATGATGGCCACAAGAATGATGGAAAAATTTCAAAATTATTGGAGTGGTGTTCATGATATGATGAGAGTTGCTGCAGTTTTGGATCCTAGGAAGAAGATGGTTGTACTTAATTTCTGGTTTCCTAAGTTGTATGGAGAAGAATCAAGTGCACAAGTTAGTAGAATCAAATACATGTGTTATGATTTGCTCAATGATTATCAACAGATTAAACTTAGAGATGCACAACCTACTGCTCCATTCATTGGTACAACTGCTATTATTGATGACGAGACTGAATTTGATGCATAACCTTCGGGTTCGGGTTTGGGTGAAAAAACCTAAATCCAACGGGTGCGGGCGCGGGTGTGATTTTCTCACCAGAATAACCTTCGGGTTCGGGTTTGGGTGAAAAAACCCCCGGGTGAAAAAACCCGAACCCAACGGGTGCAGGTGCGGGTGTGATTTTATCACCCGAATAGCCTTCGGGTTCGGGTGTGATTTTATCACCCGAATAGCCTTCGGGTTCGGGTGTGATTTTATCACCCGAATAGCCTTCGGGTTCGGGTGATGATTTCGGGTGCGGGTGTGGGTAGTGTGAAACCCGAACCCGACCCGACCCGTTGCCATCCCTAGAATTAATCACTTTCAAAAAAATCAACGCAAATGAAACAAGAACCATATCTCAAGCTATTATTCAAACCAAAATCAAAACATAGAAAATTAATGTCAAAGCAAAGCTAAGATCAACCGAATCAAATTCGGGCAGCGCTATACTAACGAAATAACACTCAAAAACTCAACCGAAAAGTGCTCAAACGCAATCGGAAAACCAATGATGTCACAACCAACTTCAACATTGTTTGGATTCAAGAAAAATTAACTTCCTCACTCAAACTCCCGTGAAAGAAAAGAGTGACATATTGCCTCCCTAGTTTCTCGGTTATAATCTACGCGAATAAACGTAATAATAAACGTAATATTGACATTAAACCATCATCGAAACTAACATGGAATCCTTATCACAACATCAAGTGAAAGTAAAGTGAAAAAAACGTTAACCTAATATAGATTTCAAATTTCAACGCAAACGAAACATAACGTTTCCACAAAACATATCCACCACAACATAAAAACGAATAACACTAACAAACGCTTACCATTCGCAATCGTAACACAAAATCCAACAAAATTTCGACACGATTAGTCGGGGACAGCAACATTAAACCACAATCGAATCACTTTTCCCAGAATTTATCATTACATTTTTTCAGCATCACAGTAAAATCGCGGAAGCACTAAACATCAAAATTATTTTCACATAGTTATCACAGCTTACAATCAAAAGAAACGCTAACACAATTGAACCAATATTATCACAGAGTTCTCAGAACATCATAACAGTTTAACTCAAACAAACACAACCTGAAAAGTAATCGAAGATTACCGAAAAGTGGCGAAGTTGCGGCGTCGAGCTGAAGCTTGCGATGAGAACGATGATGAGCTGCGAAGGGAGTTAGAAGTCGATGATGGCGATGAATGAATTCGTGTGAAGAGGGAACAGGGGAACTGGACGATTGAAGGATGATGGTGTTGATATGATGTTTGGCAGCGGTGATGATGATAATGAGAACGGTTGATTGGAGGAATCGCGGATTGGATTTGCGTGAGGTTCGACGGAGGTTGGTGTTAATGGAAGAAGAAGTTTCGGTGTGGGTTAGTGATGGAGGGAAGAGATCGCGGAAGTATGTTTTACGGTGATGATTGAGGATGAGAAGAATGGTCGCATAAGAGATGAAGGGATGAGTCGACGAAGGTGAGTGGTTGACGGTGATGCGACGAGAGAAAGATTGAAGGTCGATGCGTGGATATGATGATGTGAGGTGAAAGCTGATCTCAACGATGAAGACTCGCGTTTTGTTTGTATCTCTTTTTTCTTTTTCCTCCTTTGATCTCAGCGCCGCTTGCCTTTCTTATAACCAATCAATAAAAAACCTTATCCCAAAACTAGGTTTAGCAGAATGACCAATGAGCCCCTTTTACAAGATATTTATTTGAATTTCTATTCTATTTCTATCAAATATAAACAAAACAAATTTATACGTACATTTTTTATAAACTTTTAAAATTAAAACTAAATTTTCAATAAACACAAAAACACACTTATATTTTTTGACACATACATTTTTCTTCAAAGAAACTAGAATGAAATAAAAAAGAAAAATATATATATATATATAAGTTGATATTTTCTTAAAAATAAAGAATAAGAATAAAATCTAAGAAAAAAATTATAAAAATTAGAACGAAACGAACATGATGCAAATGCGTAAAAAATATCAGGATGCGAATAAAAAAATAATTGGGATATATAAAAAATGTGAAGATATGAATTGTTCTGGACTGGGCCCGACAGGCCCAAAAGCATTACTAAGGCCCAATCCAAAGGGACTTACTGAGGACCACGCCGAGCAAGGGGGTCACGTCCGTGCCCGACATCTTGATGTCCAGCTCGACATCCCACTGTCCAACTCCAAGTGATGATGTCCAGCTCCACCTCTTGACGACCAGCTCGACGTCCTGACGCCCAGCTCGACACCCTGCCATCCAGCTCGACACCCTGCTGTCCAGCTCGACGTTGTCTCGAGCATCCCAACTAGGGCAGACTCAGTCCACAGTTCCCCCAACGATACTCCGGAAAGACCGCGTCTTCGTCCGCCCGCACTTCACGCAGCACATCCAGGAAGGGGACCACGTGCGGGTCCCCACTACCCACGTAGAACCTGGCAGTTCCTCCATTGGGCCAAATCCGCCCGGCCCAATGAAGGGATCTTGGCTCAGCGCTGGGGGCTATAAATACCCTCTGTTTCCAGAGGGTCAGGTATTGATCATTCTAACCTCAACTTCTATTTATCTGCTCGTACTCCTACTTACTTCAGCATCGGAGTGTCTTGCAGGTACCCCCCCCCCCCCCACCTCGCCAAAAAAAGCTTTCTACTCGGAGCCAGCCGTGACGGTCCAAACCTTCTGATCAGGTCAGATCAGTGGCGCCGTCTGTGGGGAGGCCGACATTGGCGGAGCTGACAGCGGTGCCCTCAACTGTCCATCTAAAAATGAAGTTCTATACCAAAAGGGCAAGGGTAGCCACCATCCAGGGAGACCTCGCCGCTGCCCGCAGGTGCTTCAACGCCGCCTCAAGGGGACGGGATACCGTCGATGTGGGTACCAGTACCAGACCCATCAAGAAGACAAAGCAAGAGCCCGACAGAGCATCCCCCGAGGTAGAAGTTCAGAAGGCTCCACCAAAGGTCGACTCCATAGCCCTCGACGCCCGCTTCGACCAAGACGAGCCATCCAGCAGCGAGCAAATCCCCCTCCGACCTATTCCGGACGGCGATTTTGAACTCGTTCCCCTCGGAGCAGACCCAACCAAGGGAGTGAAGATTGGCAAAGACCTCCCCGACTTGGCCAGGAAGCAAATCAAGGCCTGTCTGCGCGAGAATGCTGATCTCTTCGCCTGGAGCGCTGCAGAGATGCCCGGACTCGACCCTGAGGTCGCCTGCCATCACCTCGCCATTGATCCAGCCGCCAAGGCCGTAGTACAACGTAGACGTAGGCAGTCTCCAGAAAAAACGGAGGCTGCTGAAAAAGCTGTAAAAGACCTCCTAGAGGCAAATTTTATTTCTGAAGTCCGGTACTCCATCTGGCTGTCAAATGTTGTACTTGTTAAAAAGAATAATGGAAAATGGAGAATGTGTGTTGACTATACCGACCTCAACCGGGCTTGCCCGAAGGATGCTTTTCCTCTACCTAACATTGACATGTTGGTCGACAATTCGGCCGGCTACAAGACTTTGTCGTTCATGGACGCCTACTCGGGATACAATCAAATCCCAATGGCTCTGGGCGACAAACGCTGCACGGCGTTCATGACCAGCTCGGGCAACTATTACTACAACGTAATGCCCTTCGGACTGAAGAACGCCGGTGCGACTTACCAACGCATGATGAACAAAGTGTTCAACAAACAGATTGGCGACATGCTCGAGGTATATATGGATGATATGATCGTCAAATCCCGAGCAGACACCGATCACGCAGCTCACCTCAAGACAGTCTTCGCCCAAGCAAGACAGTGCAAAATGAGGTTCAACCCCGAGAAGTGCACGTTTGGGGTTAAGGAAGGAAAATTCCTCGGATTCTATCTAACAGAACATGGGATTGAAGCCAACCCCGACAAGTGTCGGGCATTCTCCGACCTCCCGACACCAACGTCGAAGAAGTCGATACAAATCATGAACGGCATGTTGATGTCACTATCACGCTTCGTCGCGAAGTCCGCTCAGCATGCCCTTCCCTTCTTCAAACTCCTTCGAAAGGAAGCAGCCTTCGAATGGACCAAGGAATGCGAACACGCACTTCGCCATCTGAAGCAGAGCCTGTCTCAACCGCCCGTGTTGTCTCGACCAGATGACGACGAACCACTATACCTATACTTGGCAGTTTCAAACGAAGCCATCAGTGCAGCCCTTGTCCGCGAGACCTCTGACGGGCAGAAACTTGTCTACTTCACGAGCAAAGCCTTACAAGGCCCCGAGAGCAGGTATCAACAGATAGAAAAGGTTGCTCTGGCCCTCGTCAACGCTGCGAGGAGGCTCAGACACTACTTTCTAGCGCACACCATCATCGTGCGAACCGATCAGCCGGTGAGGCAACTCCTGGGTCGTCCAGATATGGCGGGCAGAATGTTGAAGTGGTCCTTGGAACTCTCCGAATTCGACATTCAATACGAGAGCAGGAAGGCCCTGAAAGCACAAGCCTTGGCCGACTTCGTCGCGGAGATGACCACTAACGACATTCCCCCGGGGAAGGAACACAAATGGACCATCTTCGTCGACGGAGCCTCCAGCTCGTCCGGAAGCGGCGCAGGGATCCTCCTGGAAAACGAAGAAGGTGTGGTAATCGAGCACTCCTTGGTTCTCTCCTTCCCGACGTTAAATAACCAGGCAGAGGACGAAGCCCTGCTCGCAGGACTGAGATTAGCCGAGGACTTAGGAGCCCGCGAAGTTCACATTTACACCGACTCCCAGCTCGTCGCTTCCCAAGTACAGGGAAGCTACCAGGCCAAAAATGACAACCTCATTGAATACTTGAACTTAGTCAAAAAACACATGGCAAAGTTCGTGCGTGCAGAAATTTCTCATGTTCCCCGCGAGCAAAACACGAGGGCGGACATATTGTCCAAACTCGCGAGCACACGAAAGAAGGGCGGGAATAAATCCGTCATCCAGGAATCTCTGGCACGTCCGAGTATCGAACCAACCTCGACTACGGTCGAGGTCCACGCCATCGGGGATGCCACGTCTTGGATGACCCCGGTTTATAATTTCCTAACAAAAGGTGAACTCCCGTCGAACCAGGCCGAAGCTGCCACAATCAAGCGACGAGCATGTTCCTATGTTGTTCTCGAGCAGAAACTGTACCGAAGAGGATTCTCCACTCCCCTCCTGAAATGCATCGACGAGTCCGCCATCCCCGACGTACTGCGGGAGATACACGAAGGGATCAACGCCCAGCACATGGGCGGTAAATCCTTGGCAAGGAAAGCCCTTCGAGCAGGATACTACTGGCCGACGATGCAACAGGACGCCAAGGAACACGTGAACAAATGTGACAAGTGCCAGAAGCACGGGGATATGCACCTCGCCCCCCCGCACGAGCTGAACACATTGTCGTCCCCATGGCCGTTCGCCTGGTGGGGCATGGACATCCTCGGGCCCTTCGTGCAAGGGACCTATCAGAACAAATTTCTAATCGTCGCCGTGGATTACTTCACGAAGTGGATCGAGGCCGAGGCACTCGCGAAAATCACCTCACACAACATTCTCTGTTTCTACAAAAGAAACGTGCTCGCCAGGTTCGGAATTCCGCAGGCACTGGTGACCGACAACGGTACCCAGTTCACCGACCACAGATTCCGAGACTTCGTCACCAAACTGGGGACCAAACAACACTTCACATCGGTCGAACACCCTCAGACCAACGGGCAAGCCGAAGCCGCGAACAGAGTCATCCTCCGAGGGCTCAAACGTCGACTCGGCGAAGCCAAAAGAGGATGGGTCGAGGAGCTCCACAGCGTCCTGTGGGCATACCGCACCACACCCCACTCAACGACTGGGGAAACACCATTCCGACTGACCTACGGCATCGAAGCTGTCATCCCGGTCGAAATCATGGAACCATCCCGACGAACGGAAGAACCCCTCGACGAAGAAATGAATGACGAAGCATTAAGGGATGAACTCGATCTAGTCGAGGAAATCCGATCGGGGGCTGCCCTGCGCGAAGCCACCCTAAAACAACGAGTGGCTCTACGCCACAACGACAAGGTCATCAAGCGCGAGTTCGAAATAGGCAGCCTGGTACTACGCAGGAACCAGAAAGACTCCCGCGAAAGGAAGTTGGCCGCGAACTGGGAAGGACCTTACCGCGTCCACGGCACCACGGGTACCAGGGCGTACTACCTCGAGCAGTTAGATGGAGAGCCATTACCACGACCCTGGAATGCTGCCAAGCTAAAGCAGTACTACAGTTAGAAACTGTCAACACCTGGGACCCTCGACCAGCAGCACCCGCGCTCGGTCAACGAGGAAAAACGTCCAATTTCGTATAAGGCTAAGGTACAAGCCCGACGTACGACCAAAATAGCACAGCATCGCGCGGTAAACGATGACGATCGATATTGCCCGACGTGGACAGCTGTACCGAGCCCCACCGTCGTTGTACCCACAAGGCAGAACACCCAGCTCGTGATGGGCAGTTCACGCCAAGGGCGAATCGTCCCTAACGGGCTCCACGCCCGACTGAGCAACCTCGCTCCGAAATGCCCGACATTCCATCAAGAATAACGGGCCATCTACAAGGGTCAAAAGAAAATCTCTCCCCCTCGAGCATATTCGCTCGCCAAATCAAAGCCGCGTACGGGCACTCCTCGGGCCCATGACTTAGGCTAAATTCATACAAGCACATGATTTCAAACAAGGGCAAAAATCCAAAAGGTAAAACAACATTGATATAAATGCCCGAAGGCAACAAAACAATAATAAACCGACCAAGAAGGCCGGCGATGTTCATAACATACAATAAACGGGCACGCAGGCCCAAAGAATACAAATATCAAGGGCA